ATTTTTACGCGTGTAATTATCTTTACAACAATCGTGATATTACTTATATAACTTCATCCCAACACACTCTGACAACTTTTCTGGTGGGAGGAAACCTGAGCGCCCAGAGAAAACCCTTGGCATTTTTTGCATGGGCCCGTAGCGACAATTGAACCCACGTTCTCAGAGGTGAAAGGCGCTTGCTCTGACGACCGCGCCACCGGAGCCCCATAAAAAATGAATGATGGCTCCATTGCCAATAAATACCGTATAATAAAAAAAAGTAATCCAAATTTGACATGTTATTGTACGTTAGGTATTATAATAAGTTTATATAATTACTTTCTTTATAAAGTTATAATTATCAGGTTTTACGTATCAAATGACTTCTTTTTTGTATCTTTGCGATCAAAATTGGCCAAATACGATAGTCCAAAGGCCCGTTTACACTTGCAATTTTTGCTGCGATTTCTAGTGCGATTTTCGTCTTCTGATGGATGTGAAGGAGTGGATGAGTTATAAATGCTCAGCTGAAGGAATATTTACTCAGAACATTCATAACTCATCTACTCGTTCTCATCCATCAGAAGAAGAAAATCGCGCTAGAAATCGCAGCAAAAATTGCAAGTGTAAACGGGCCTTAACAGTGGTAGGTCGAAATTGCAATTTTACAACTTTGAGAATTAAATTGCTCTTTCAATGTTCAAACATTTAAACAAGTGCTTGTATCCCAGCATAGAAAACGCTTAGTGTCGCGAGGTCAGTTTGTAATCGTCCAGGTTTTTTGAAATTTGATGTAATGATGTTCCAGTAAATTGTGAGTTAAAATTTACCACGACTAAGTTAGTGATCAGCCGTCACCTTATACGCTATCTTTGACATCTTTTTTGAAGTTTTTAAATTAGAATCAGAAATGAGAAAAACTTTGATACTCAGACAATAGTTATTTACAACGTATAAACACAATGGACGTACATACAGTGTAGCAATGTAATTGACTAAGGATGACATCTTACACCATCTGACACACTTCGACCATCATACACCATCAGTACCATTTTCACCATCTGACAACCCTCTCTGCATAACTACCCTACACCATCTGACAACCATCTGACACACTTGGACCACCAGACACCATCAGTATCATCTTCACCATCAGACAAACCTTCCCTGTATAGCCACTCTACACCATCTGAGACACTTCAACCATCATACACCATCTGTAACATCTTCACCATCTGACATGACAACCCTTCCCCCGTCTAACCACCCTACACCATCTGACACCTCGTTTTACCACAAAAAACCTATACGGATGAAACAGACTGTTGTGGTTTTTTGAGGTAAAACGAAAAACTATATTACGCTCTATCTATATGGTTTTGAGTACTGTTTGTGTTTCGTAAACCAAAATCTTAAGCTATATATATATATATATATATATATATATATATATATATATATATATATATATATATATATATATATATATATATATATACAGAGTGTATAAAAAAAACTGAACAGATTTGAAATTGCTCTCAATTTCGCAAAACAGCTATTAGTATCCAGTTTTTTATGTATATAGCTTCCTTGGGTACTTATAATGTTGAATAATGAAAAAAATTTCTCGAACTCAAATTTTGTGAACCAGGGGGGGGGGGG